GGAATTTTGTCCCTTTACATTTTAAATTATTATTGATAAGTATTTAGTCTTCTTAATGTTTTTTCTTTAGAAGTTACTTCTGGGGTCCGGTGCAGTTGCCTGGTGGCTAAAGTCCTCACCTTGTAAGCACCAGGATCCCATATGGTCACTGGTTCATGTCCCAGCTGTTCCACTTCCCATCCAGCTCTCTGCCTGTGGCCTGGGAAAGCAGCTGAGGACGGTCCAAAGCCTTGAGACCCTGCACCCATGTGGAGACCTGGGAGAAGCTCCTGGGTCCTGGTTTTGGATTGGCTCAGCTTTGGCCATTACAGTTACTTGGGAAGTGAATCAGTGGACAGAAGATCTTCTGTCCCTCCTCTTTTCTGTATATCTGACTTTCCAATAAAAATCAATAAATCTTTATAAAAGTTTCTTCTGCTAAAACATCGACGTTCTTTTTCTAGTGGGTTTTGCACTCTCACACGTTTTTCTGATGGTGTTTACCTTGCCTTTTCTTAGGACTTCCTGACAGATTTGCTGGGTGCAGTATTTGGGGCTGGCAGGCTTTTGTGTTTTTTTACTTTTTTCCCCTTGAGAACCTGGAATACATGATTTCATTTCCATTTTCCTCCTGGCTTGAAAGGTTACTGCTGATAAATCTGTTGCTATTCTAATGGGAGACCCCATAAGTGTGACTTGACTCTTCTCTCTCGCAGATTTTATAATTCTGCCTTTTTGGTGTACTTGTGACAGTTTAACTATTTGCTGTAGTGATGATCTTTTCTGGTCAGTCTTTTTGGGGTCAAGTCTTCTGGACTTAAGTTCATATCTTTGTCAAGAGTAGGGAAGTTTTCAGCTACTATTTCACTGTTCTACATCATTTCACTGCTCTACGTCATTATTGCTCTCTTTGCCTTCAGGGATTCCCACAATTTGAAAACTTACTCACTGATGTTTCCAAGCTCTCAGAGACAGTCCTCAACCTTATTTATGGGCGGGTGGATGGATGGGAAATTTTAAAATAGACATTTTTGAGTTCAGATATACTTTCTTCTGCTCAATCTAGTCTATTGCTTAAGTTTCCAATTAGATGTTTTCTTTGGCTTTATTTCTTCTCGTATTTGACTCTTACAAGATATCAATCGCTTTGATAAATTTCTCACCCATATCATGCATGCTGTTTAACAGTCTGTGTTCTGTAGTATATCTTTGAGCATCCTTATTAATCATTATTTCAAATTCTTTATCAGCTGTTCCACCAATCCTTTTTAGAGTCTGTTATTAAGTATTATTTTATTCCTCTGGAGGCATCTTATTGCCTTGCTTTTTCATACTTGCTTTATATCTATGATGATATTTGCACACCGGAAGTATTAGTTGCCTCTGTTACTTTCAGGAAGATGTATTTTATGGAGTACTTAGGCTGTGGTTCCAGCTGAATCTGCAATGCAGCAAACAATAGCAGCAGCACTGGGAATTTAGGGTACAGGAGTGCCCTCAAGGATGTGTCCGTGGGATACCAGCCTTCAGACCAATGTGGCTCCAGTCTCAGACTTGTCACTCTGGTACCCACAATGGCATGAATGTAGCTAGGTTGCAGTAGTGCTGGCTCAGAGTACAGCAAGAATGTGCAGGGCTGTAAGATGGCATCCTCCAATTTCTATGATATGATGTGGCACCCATCTGCCTTTTTAACCTTCAAAGAATTACTGTGTTTAGGAAAGGAACGAAGTGAGCAATCCTGCAGCCACATATGGCATAATGCTAGACCAAACCAGGAGCCCACAGACCACCAAGATCTGCCCAGCATGAGACAGGGCCTAAACCTACTTTGCTGTGAGTTATCTGCTGCTAAAGTAGACTTGCCACCAAAGACCACTGTAACAAATTAACAGTGATGCTGGCTGTGAAATAAGTCCAACTGACTAGGGCCATGGAACCAACATACGCCCATAGGCTCCATTCACAGGCACTGGTATGGAGACAGAGATCATCACTATTCATCCACTGATGATATTATCAATTCAAAAATGCATTAGAGTCTCACAGCCAAAGAGCTCCAAGATGTCTTGCAGACACACACCAAGCCCACACAAGACTGGAGGTGATGAAGTCACAAATCCATCCTGTTAAGCCATAGGTCCACAGGCTCTGTCTGAAAATACAGGCCTGGTAACAGAGGTCACAATTTTCTATCTGGTACTGGGTCTCACTGTAGTGGGATTGGTACTTCCTGACTCCTCTATGGAAGTATTATTTCTAACCATCTGCCCAAAGGACAGGCTCTAGGCTATACTACGGCGGGCCTGGTACCAAGTTTCAAGCATAAAGATGCCAAGTAGGAGGCATCTCTCTATGCTGTGCTACTTGGAGCTGGCAGGGGGGTGACAGGGTAGCTCTTGCCTTCCTACCTTGTCCAATATATCCTTTCTTCTTATTCCACTAAAACCGGGATTCTATATTTTGTGAAGGTGACCTGATGCATGACTAGCCGTTTAAATTTGTGTCTCTGTGGGGAGACTTAGCATATATTAACTCAGATACTTTCTTGCTCTTTCTCCCAATTGTTCATTTTATATATTCAGTATCGACTCTAATTTAACAATAAGCATGTACGAATTTCAGTTTTTAAAATATCATACTTTAATAATAAGCATAATTAAGAAAAATATTAGGTAACCTATGCAAAGTACTATTTGTAATTACTATCTTCCACTGACCATACTCCACAAAGGCACCAAGTACCAGTGCTAGGTTTGCACTTTAACAATCATGCCATTAAGGTGTTGTTTACTCAACTTCCTAAATCCAAAAACAATGGATTCAGCCCTGGAGAACCCCATAAAAACACACGGGGATGCTACTAGAAATTATGCTGGAGACACAACACTGTGACAAACATAGAACAAGTAATCATACATGCAATGATTTAACTCCACTTGTGGTAAGTGCTGTGAGGAAGTGTGGAAAGATCAATAACACCCTGCTAACAGCTCTCAGGGATAGCTCTCACCCTCAATTACAGGTCGGTTACCATTAATATCTGTAACATCAAATTATGCTGATTGTATTGACATAAAATGTACTGGACAAAGAGTAATTATAATAATTTTCACTATAAGAATAATAACAGGAAATTTTTATGTCAATAGGTCAATGAAGAAAAGGATGAAAATAAATGAGAAAGAAAATCTAAGTGTGTGAGCATATACAGAAAATTACTGCCAAGGAGTTTCAACAATACTGCTGCGTTCCTCTAGAGAGGAAAGCTCCTCATTGCAGAGGCTTGGAGCCCACCCATGCAAGACATCCGCTCTATCCCAGAACAGCAACAATGTCTATGCAAGGCAGACATAGTAACAGAGATAAGGTATGTATTTTTCATATATGCTCCATATTTTCCAAGATGAATTGGGTTTCATATACTTGCTACCTTTGTGCCCATAAACCACTTAAATAACCTGGTCATCTCAGGAATTCTATGTCTTAATGACATCTGAGTTACCTAGAGGCAACACAAAAATCCTAGTCGGACCACCTGCCTATTTTGAAAAATGTGATCACTGTATTCAGCAGATACTCAATAAGGTGAACAGGCACTTAGCCTAGCAGTTAAGAGACCCAAATCTCATATCATAGTACCTGGGTTTGACATCCAGCTCCAGCTAGTAATTCCAGGTTCCTACCAACATAGACCCTGGGAGGCAGCAGGTGATGGCTCAAATATCTGGGCCCCTGCCACCCACCTGGGAGGGCTGGATTGTGTTTCTGGCTCCTGACTTAATACATATGTTCCATGTATTATATATTGCATATACCATACTATATGGAAAGGCCAGCAAACTGTGGCCCAATAAGTCAAGCTGTTGAATGCAATGCTGGCATCGCATGAGTGCCAGCTGGAGTCCCAGCTGTTCTGCCCTCTGATTCAGATTCCTGGTAATGCTCCTAGAAAAGCAACAGAATATGACCCAAGTGACTGGGTTCTCTGCTATCCATGTGGGAGATCTGAAACTCCAGCCTCCTGCTTTGGGTCTGGCCCATGTCCAGGCACTGCTGCCACTTGCAGAATAACCCAACAGTTAGAACATCAATCTTAACCTCTTTCTCAATCTGCCTTTCAAATATAGATCTTATTTTTAAGAAAAAATATACTAAGTGATAACAAGTGAACATCTTTCATCACAACGTACTGTTCTAAATCAGAAAACCCTAGGCATGTACAGCAAGACTTCAAAGTTGCTAAAACCAGGTATTCATGAATTTCATAAAATGCTAGTCCATAAAAATAGAATTTGAAGATACAAAAAGGTGATTATTCTAGCAAATCAATACACACATTATCTTCTAACTGTCCTTCCTACCTACCCAAAAGCTTGGCCAATATCTTCTGAATTAAATATAAATCTCTTCACTTAGAATTTTAGGTCCAAGTGTGTCTGTGATAGCTTGCAATGTAAAAGGCAACAGTTGATGTATTAAGCAAAATGAAAACCTCACAAGAAATTCACAGTGGTGTTAATGAGTCCACCAGCATTTGATGCGGCTTTAACTTGGCTTCAATTTAATATTTGCTGTCACAAAAATTGTTATAATATAAAATTATGTTCCATTAAGGGCATGGCAAAAAACCACAGCACTTCTATTATGACTGAGCCTCCTCAGACCTTCAGTAAAACTTGAATCCTCCATGACACATTCAAAAGGCAGCTAGCCAAGAGTTCCAAGTAACCACCAACCGCAAACAATGAAGTAGGCACAAAAGTCAGAATCTACCTGCCAGTCCTACTTTAAGTTATTAATCGGATATTCACAGAGCCATGGCAATTCCATGGCACCAAATGGAATCCATCAGGCTTAATTTGTGGTTAGCATTCACATTATGTTGGACACTGCTAAGGAATAAGAATGGGATAAACAGAAAAACAAGATTAAGGCCACCATCAACTCAAATATACTGGGTTGACCTTCCTCAGTTTCCATTAGTTACACTCTAAACAGATGATTAGACCATCACTGACCTTATGAAGAGCAGGAGCCAAGACAGGTACCAAGAATCCATTGTAAATGTAATTGACAAGCTGATTGCGAATCAAAGGATGAGCCACCTAAGACAGAAAGTCAAGACAAGACAAAGAGTTCAAACTTTAGATATTCTTGAAACTAAGTCTTTCTGTGTGCATCCTAAAGTTAGAGCAAAAATCCAAATTTTGGTAATTTGCTTCAAAATTAAAGAGCAATTCAGACACTCAAACTGGCATGGAATTGTTTCAAATGTTTTACTCAATATAGACAGTTTGTCTAACATTAGAAAAAAATAAAACAGGTGTTTATGTTAGTGGTTAAGACACCAGCATCCCCCACCAGAGGGCCTGGGTTCAATTCCTGCCTTCTCTTTCATTTTAGCTTCTTGCCAATGTTGACCCACAAAGGCTCGAGGAATTGAGTGCCTGTCTTTCATGTGTAGACTGGACTGTATTATTAGTTCCTGGCCTTGACCCAGTCCTAGCTGCCAGGGACATTCTGCAGAATGAACCAGCAGCAGGTGGGAGTTATCCTGTTCTGTCTCTCTCAAGTAATACATAAATATTTTAAATGTTAATGAAAATAAGAAGAGATTGGGCCCGGAGCGGTGGCGCAAGTGGTTAAAGGTCCTCGCCTCGCACCCCCGGGATCCCATATGGGCGCCGGTTCTAATCCCGGCAGCCCCGCTTCCCTTCCAGCTCCCTGCCTGTGGCCTGGGAAAGCAGTCGAGGACGGCCCAGAGCTTTGGGAACCTGCACCCGCGTGGGAGACCCAGAAGAGTCTCCTGGCTTCGGATCGGCATAGTATCGGCCCGTTGCGCTCACTTGGGGAGTGAATCATTGGACGGAAGATCTTCCTCTCTGTCTCTCCTCTCTGTATATCAGCCTTTCCAATGAAAAAAATAATAAAAAATAAATCTTTAAAAAAAAAAAAGAAAATAAGAGATTATACTTTTGAATTCCAAAAACAATTTTAAAGTGTCTATTTCAAAGAAGATTAAGATTGAAGATGGACTAAATAACAAGGATTAATAAATTGAAATAAACAAACTGCATGCATAGTTTTTCCCTTCTAAGTCTCACCTCAACTTGTAATTAACTGAAAACAAAAGCGCATAACTGTCAAAATCGACAAATACAAGCTCTTTGTTAGAACAAAGAAGTTCTTCACTTGAAGATACATCTTCTGATACTCAGTTATACCAGGGAAATGTAGTATTACATTGTTAATTAACCTCATAATGCTGGAAACTGTTGTTGATGTTATGTTATGGCATTTAATTGGCCGGAACGACAATCTGCCAGCTATGTCTCCAGACCAGAGATAGTCTCCACAAGAAACTGCTGAATTCAGCTGGGCAAGAAGATACTGGACTCTATGCAAGGCACATGCTTGCACTGAAAGAAATAAGACTAGATTTGATCTGTAACACTGCAACAAGGTGGAGCAATCCACCATGGGGGGAGGGCAAAAAGAGGGGAAGGGGGGACATCAGAGCCTATGAAACGCTGTTATAAAATTAAAAGCAATAATAAATAAATAAATAAATAAAAGAAAAAGAAACTAGGGAAGAAGGCATTTGGAAATATTTTATTAAAAGTCAATGTTCAGAAGCAGAAAACATCACATCAATTCCTATATTTGATTTTCAAAATGTACTTCATGGGGGTCTTGTGCAGTAGCCTGGCAGGTAAAGTCCTCATCTTGCACGCGCCTGGATCCTATATGGGTCACCAGTTCTAATCCTGGCAGCCCCACTTCCCATCCAGCTGCCTGTTTGTGGTCTGGGAAAGCAGTCAAGGACGGTCCAAAGCCTTGGGACCCAGCATCCATGTGGCAGACCCGGAAGAAGCTCCTAGCTCTTGGCTTCGAACTGGCACAGCTCCAACCATTCTGGCTGCTTGGGGAGTGAATCAACAGATAGAGGATCTTCCTCTCTGTTTCTCCTCTCTGTATATTTCACTTTCAAATAAAAATAAAATAAATCTTTAAAAAATGTGCTTCATGTAGGCAAACTTCTACTGATATATTTTGTAAAGTAATCTTTTGGTTAGAACCCCAACAAAAAGTCTTACAAGTATATGGTTCCAATTTCAAAAAATATTACTTAATTTTCATGTTCTGAACCATGTACAATTAGCTTTACTTCTATTTAAAACAAAAAGAAAAACAATAAAGTCAAAAGTAATTTAAGAGAAGTTAAGATGGATTCTTAAATTACTGGTAATCTGGTACACATGAAAAGGAAGTAATAGTAGTTCCACATTTTTTTTATCTAAACACTTCTGCAAGATGCTGATAGACGGTAATATTAAAGGAGAAAAGTAATTTAAGATGTAATTCATTTATCTTATATAAGTAAAACTTCCCTTGACTTAGCAATAAAAATGAGATGGGAACTCAAGTAATTTACTTGCATTTTCTTCCAGAAGCTATTTCTTCATTTGTCAGATAAGCAGATTATAACTAACATTCTTCATCCTATGATCGCCATAAAGAAAACCTGATTTCTTAATAATTCCAACATTAAAGTAATATTTATGCTGTACAGGAGTAAAACAGGTCTGATAAAAACCTGCTCCACTTCCTTAAATATATATAAATCTGATTTTTATTGAAAACAATAACAAGACTTATGAAGGTAAAAATTCAGCCAGGAAGCTGAAGCTGCAGGAGTTCAGTGACTGCTTTTTCCCACACGCAGGCCAATTTCAAAGCAAATTTAATTTGGGTTGCTAAAAAGATGCTTAACTTCTTCTAAATTCAATTGGGATAACAATATTCTTTATGTAGTATGCACCATTAAGCAAAATAAAATGTTTTCCTTTGTAAATTCCCAAAAAGACCTTCAAGTAAAAGCAGTATAATGTGGAATACTTAGAAGCCTAAAAATATCTATTTAATGAGTCAAACACTGAACTTATTTTTGATGGTTAAGTGGATAATCAAAACAGAATTAACAATTTCTCTAAAGATAATAAAGAAAACCTAGTCTTTTTATGACAATTAAAACTTCCCAGAAGCCTATAAACTAAAATTCTCACTCATTCAAGGACAATGAGTAGTCTTGAAACAAAGCACCAACACCTCACTGCCTTTATGAAAATAAACAAGGGGCGAATCAGCAAACTGATTTTTGTGATGCTTGGGGTCCCAATGAGACCACTAAGAAAGATCCTCCAGTGTGCTCTGGTACCTGGATGACTGCATTGCAAAACTCCAGGGAGTTCATGAACTGGACAAGAGGAGGCAAGAGGAGCCAGTCGTCTTTCAGCAGGCAGTGCCATTCTTCGCCTTTTTCTTCTAGCTTTGTAGGCAGCGAAGAGTAGAGACCACTGAGTCCAGTTGCAAGCACCTAGATTCAGAAACACAAAGTAAGGTCTTAACCTGAAGCTGACAAGTATCATTGATACTGCTGGTCCAAAGACTGAACTCTAAACAGGGAAGGTATTTTCGGTATTAGAGGATATCAGCCAGTTAGGAAGGAGTCACCTGGGGGGGAAGAATAACACCAGCAGGGCGTAAAGAATCATCAGAATTATTCAGTTAATATATACACAACTGAGACAGGTTGCTCATCTCCCATGCGCCACGCACAGTGCTGTGGTGAAAACGGGATGCAGCGAGGACAGGCACACAACAGTGAATGAAATATAAATCCTGCTTCCCAAGGAGTTCAGCAGAGCAGACTCATAAACAGTAACAACATGCTGCCTCACGGAACCTTGGATGCAAACACAGAGACGCCACCCATTTGACAATGGGAGCAAGCCTAGCACTAAGGTGGTCCAGGAAGGAGGTTGTTTAGACAGCAACCACAAGCAGCTTCACGAAAACGACTGCATGTAAAAAATGGCATGTTCAAGGTCATGATGACACTTGTATATTTAGAAACACTTTTGTGTCTATTGTTTTATCTGACTGCATTCACAAACAATAGTAAAGAGGAAAAAACTGAGGGATGGGAGTCAGCCCAGTCGGATGTGATAACAAGAGTTCACGCACAGCTACAGCAGATTCACATTGACGGGCCAAGGTGGGGAGGGCAGGGGGGAAGGAGGTGGGAGCTACTTAAGCAGTATCAACCCAAAGCCCCTGAGACTTACCCTCTTAGTGCCCTATGCCTAAGGTTAAACTGACATCACTGGGACTTGGTGCAGGAAAGTGAAAGAGAATTTAAAAACTTTCAACTTGATCATCAAGAAAATGATAGTTGGGCCCGACGGCGTGGCCTAGCAGCTAAAGTCCTCGCCTTGAACGCGCCAGGATCCCATATGGGTGCTGGTTCTAATCCCGACAGCTCCACTTCCCTTCCAGCTCCCTGCCTGTGGCCTGGGAAAGCAGTCAAGGAAGGCCCAAAGCTTTGGGACCCTGCACCAGTGTGGGAGACCCGGAAGAGGTTCCTGGATCCTGGCTTTGGATCGGCATAGCATCAGCCGTTGCGCTCACTTGGGGAGTGAATCATTGGAAGGAAGATCTTCCTCTCTGTCTCTCCTCCTCTCTGTATTTCTGACTTTCCAATAAATAAATAAATCTTAAAAAAAAAAAGCAAAGAAAATGATGGTGCCTTGCACACAGATAGAAAGGTAGAAATGGAACACAGTTAACACTGAATGCTTGTTTGTTTTTATCTTGGGGAGTGTACGAACAGAGAATTGCAGCTACTCCCAACTGAGAAGTGATGTTAGCTAGCTAAGCAGCGCCTTAAAGATCCTAATTTTTCAATAGTGTATAGCATGGACAGGAATGACACTGGACCCATGAACATGACCTTCAAAGGCACTGCTCTTGGGGCTAGCACTGTGGCATACTAGGTTAAGTCTCCACCTGCGGCTCCAACATCCCATGTGGGCACTGGATCAGTCCTATCTGCTCCATTTCTGCACCAGCTCCCTGCTAACATGCCTAGGAAGACAGTGGAGGAACACGCAAGACCTTGTGCCTTTCTATGTGGGAGACCCAGAGGAAGCTCCAGCCTCCAGGCTTCAAATCAGCACAGCTCTGGTCATTGTGGCCATCTGGGGAATGGCCCAGTGGATGGGAAAACCTCTGTCTCTCCTTCTCTCTCTGTCATCAGCCTTACAAATAAAACAAATATTAAAATAAAAAAGCACTGCTCAGGCACAAACCCTGAGGTTAAGATGAACTCAAGTGAGATGGAAACAGTGATCATATCATCTAATGGAAGATGAATGACTAACAGTGTTAGAAATGGTCAGAAAACATTATAGAAAATATGTGCTGCTGTCGGTGTGTAAATGGCCTCTCACCAGACTCGAGGGGTTAGCAGCAGCAAACATCCTCAGAAGTGATTTCCAAGATGGCAAAGAATAAATAAGGGGTAGCCAAAAAAAAAAAAAAGTGGAAGAATAAGCAGAGAGAATAGTGCTTGCATGCTTACAATGTCCACTCATTTATTCCCTCACTTAGTAAGAAAAATGCTGAGTACTTAGTAGTTATAGGTTAGGTGCTAGGCTAAGTACAGAAAATACAACAGAAAGCACGTACAAAACCTTAAAGGGAAAAGAAAATATGGTTTCCTCCAGGATCTAAGAGATGTGCAGAACTGTTAGAACTGCACAGGAAGAGGCTGGCAAGGGAAGTATAGGCTAGACTGTTTAGGGTTTTACAGGATGAAACACTTATGAGACATCCAAATGGAGAGTCCAACAGACATACATGAGCATCTGATACGTGTGTGCTTCAATCAGAACTCAGGGGCCACAAAGGCCGATCTGGAGCTATCCACATGTGAATCCACCCACGCAAATCAGACCAAGGAGACTGAAACAGAGATACGATTAAAACAATCCACAATGTCCGGCATCAGAAACAGAAAAGTCAGAAGGAGGTGTAGGTCTAGATTATAGCAGACTTGGGAAAATATTTTCTACAGAGCCACGCATCTCTTCTTGGCTTGTGCTATTCCCACAGCACGGCGCAAGTCACCTTTCTTCCATTTTTAATGTATACCCATCTTCTCCATCTCACCTGCTCTGACTTGTTCACCTCCTTTCCACACAGAAGTATAAATGGTTTGTCATGTCAGGAGTGCTGAGTTTCAGATGCTCATGGTACTTTCCACAAGTGACAAACACAGCTCAACAATACTTTACAGGCCTGGGAGGCTTAAGCACAGAGAAACCAGATGAAGGCATGGGAGGAATTGGGGGTAGAGATGGACCATACAGAAGGAGGCCATAGGGAATTACATAAAGCAGTGAGAGAAAGAGAGGAACCAACTCAATGCCAGAGAAATCAAGAGATTAGTTATCCATTTCTGTTTCCTAGTAACCTTTATTCATTCATTAAAAAAGAAAAATACTGAGCACTTTCTCCAGGCAGATACTCTGTTAAGTAAGGGAAGTACAACAGTAAACAAGATGGAATATTTATCTTTTTCAAAATTAGGGCATCTGTAGTTTCAAGGAGGGATGTCACCTATTCAAAATATTTAACTCCTTGTCAACTACTCAAACAAATCACTTTAATTCCAGTACTAAATGTGATTCAAATGAGTTGCCTGTTACAAATTAGAAACCTCTGGCAAAAGAGAACAAAGCCCAAAAGTTCTCCTTGAAGAGAAATCTAATCTTGATGCCATATTTTTGAAATCAATTACATTTGCTAACTCATGCTAAATTAACCACAGAACAAAGGCTTTGATTCTGCATACTCCTGATTTCTTAACCACTTCTGGGCTTTGAAGATGAATTCATAAAGACAGGCTTAATTTGTCTGACTAAAAAGCTGGGAATAACTTTTGAGTCTATCAATATAATTACAGCAACATTAATTTTCAAATTACATACATCAGTGACAGTAATTAAAAATAACACACACACCTAATAGTCACTTTTTAAAATGAGTATTCATAAATGGGCCTGGCTGAGATGCAAACAGAAAGAAGTGTGTTCCTTCAGAAGGCCCCTGTCCTCAAAGGATGTCCCTTCACAGAAGGCCCTGGGTCACACAGTCGGCTGAGCGGGGGAGAATCATGCCATGCTCCTGCCATTATGAATCGGGCAAGATGCTGTCTCCACTACCTTCTTCACAGACACGAGAAAATGTACAGCCTTCCCCAGCAAGGCTTCACTCTGAGTTTGGAATCATTCTCTCAGATCCCACCCTACAGGAAGGTACTGAAGAAAACTCACAGGAAAATGAAAGCCTGAGCTCCGTTTGGTGCACATCAATCTTGAAATCCATGCACGCAGAGGGAGTCTTCAACAAGTTCACAGACACCCACTCATGGGCTTCAATTTTAACATCAAATGAACTTATCTTTTGCTCCATTTTTTCCATGAAGTTTTTGAACAACTCTCATGTTGTGACAACACAGACTGTGGGCCAGGCTTATACAAGGTTGGTGCTGGCCAAAGGGTAGTAAACAAGACAGACTTGGGGAAATGGAGAAGACAGCTGATAAGCTAACAACCACCAGAAAGACAACTGCTTTCCAAAGAAGAGATGGAGTGTGGTGGCAACAGGTCAAGGGAAAAAAAAAGAGACAACAACAGGTCTGTAAACCGTTTTACAGTTCAAGAATTTTTTTAAAAAGCATAATGCATTCAATTTAAATTTTATGTTTAACTTAAAAATTAAGTTACAGAAATCTGAACATAAATACACTCACAGGCTAACTAAAAATATAATGTCCATCCGCTATTTGTATGTATCCTCACCACCAAAAAATTTTAAAAAATGTTTATTCCCAACACACTAAAAACTAACCCAATATCTTCATATTTCCCCCAAAAGAAAATCTAGTCACTATAATAAACTACACAAATAATAGAAACAAACTTCCCTAACAGTAGAAAAGCATGAACAATCACAAATTTTAGTACCAAGCTAATATGGCTTGAACCAGATCCAACCATTGATAGGAATTATTAAAGTTCTTTAGATTTACTTTCTCCACAGAGCTGTTGCAAAGAATAAAGAAAATAATGCATGTAACATAATTGGATAAAGTACACAAATATGAGCATAATGCAGATACCATACAGAGAATATACACAACATCATAGAATATAAGGAATGTACACAGGATACAATAAGGTTAGCATTACGTACACATAGGAAAGTTACCAATAATGACAGATGACAAACACTGAACAAGTAATGTCTAATTTCAAACATCTAATGGTACTTATACAATTTTAGCAAAAAAAAAAAAAGATTTTTAGCAGGTGGCTCTGATCTGGAGCTAGCAGCAAAACATCTGGTAGGGACCATTTGACACTCCTTATATAAATAAAAAGCTTCATAAATTTTGGGTAGGAGATTAAATAACTCTTCATCTGTGGCCATGTACCTAAAGATTGCTTATTTCAATCTGCACTTCTTAAT